TTCGAAAGTAAGTAAAACTTTAGGTTTCACTAATACGGTTGTGGTAAACATATTTGACTTTTATCGTGTTGTTACTGAAGTGTTCCGCTGTGCGTGTCGCGCCACGTGGCTGCGTATGAAACTCAGTTAAACCTTCCTGAACTTGTTCAGCTGCCTCCACATCACGCACTCATACAGTTTATCAGACGTGAATAAAACCCATGTTTCACGAGTTTATAAAACTTTCATGAAGCAGGTGGGGTTGACAGTGACGGCGTACATGAAGTTTCAGTGCTGTAGTTTGTGTTTCATGTGTTCATAAACAGGGTGGATCACATGAAGCATCTGTAACGGATCTGTATGTGTCATATAATCCTGACCTACAGGCCTCTGCTGGTTTAAATCTGGGTTAGGCGTGTTACTCGGGTTTATTTGCTCTTCATGGCCTACAAGCAGTGTTGGGGAAAGTTACTTTTAAAAGTAATGCATTACAATATTGCGTTACAGCCCCCCCCAAAAAGTAACTAATTACGTTACTTAGTTACTTTTTATGGAAAGTAATGCGTTATATTACTTTTGCGTTACTTTCGCGTTACTTTTTAAATATAAGCAGGGCTTGATTGTTTTTAATAGAAGTTCTATTTATAGCAAATATAAAAGCCCTTTCACACCAAAAAGTGTAATGAATAAACCTCAGGCTGAAGCAAAAGTAAATTCACGTCTGTACAGTAGAACGCAGGAGAAGAAACACTCTTCAGCAATAAAAAAACAAAGCACAATTGTTAGTTTATCTAAAGTCATTTGTGCTTATTAGTATGGTTGAACTGGATCATCAAAGGTCAGCAGCGAAGACATTGGGATTAGATACATTTGTGTTATTTAACATATTTAATTATTGCAGGTTTGCATCATATTCTGAGTTTGCATTTCACTGTTTTAATTCATTTTGATGAATATTAAATCTGTTTATTGTGAGTGGGATGAATTAATGCACATTTACATTTAGTCTAGAACTACAGTAGCATCATGTTCACACAGCGCACACAATTCCTCTGTGCTTCCAATTTCTCCCAATATGGGGACATATTACTTTCTGTACTTACATATGTACTTTCTTTGACTTGTCAGTCAATAAATGAGAAAACAAAGTAACTGGCATTACTTTTTTGAAAAAGTAACTCAGATATTTTCTTGTAAATTAAAAAAGTAATGCGTTACTTTACTAGTTACTTGAAAAAAGTAATCTGATTACGTAACTCGCGTTACTTGTAACGAGTTACCCCCAACACTGCCTACAAGCAATTAATTTGCATAAATAAAATGCCCATCTATTTCACTTGGTGATATGAATTTCACCCCATTTGAAAGGCCAAGGTAAATTTAATGGTATTTTATGAATGAATACAATACAATTAAGCAGTATTTGGTTTTCACGCTTTGCATTTAAACAAATGACAGCTTGATAGGAGATGGCAAACAATAAAATGTTGAACTTTATTCTTGTTTTAAACACCACATGTCATATCAAACATGCTCTTTCTTGAGACATTTTTGTCTACAGCTCTGGACACTGTAACCAAGTACACTAATCTTTCATAACATTCTTATTATTGGCAAATTATTTTGACTTAATGGGAATAATGCTATATGACTTTATTCATCACTCTATGGGCCTGATTTACTAACAGCTTAAACCCTCTTTTAGCATAAAAAAAAACTACTGTCAGGATTTAATAAAGACACTCCGTGAAAAATTAGCTATGAAAAGTGTGGACAAAGTTAAGGCTGACATAATTGCATATGCATTTGTAGGAGTTTCCCTTTCATATGCAATATTTATGGGAGCAGAGTATTACATTACAAATTAATATTAAATAAATCTAATAAATATTTTAATATTAAATAAAAATTGATTCAACATTCACTCATAGTAAATTAATGGGAATTTGAGCCCCAAAAAAACATGTCTTAACCCATTTTGGCCTGACATGGCTGGGATAGTTGCTTTGGAAATTCTTGGTAGATTGCATTGGTCATTTTGTGTTTTTTAAATTTGCACATTGTTAGTAGATCATCTGCAGAACTTTCCACTCCCATCTATGCTTTTAAAGGATTGTAGTCTTGTGCTAATTTGCCCTGTTTAGTCAGTCTGGCTCTATGTCTTTTGTGGGCCACTGGTGTCAGACGAGTTCGTACTTGGTGCTCATTTCTCAGCTCTCCTAATAATTAAATGCTCATTGTTAAAGGGAAGGTGAAAAGCCCTCGTCATCGCTTGTTTTCTCTGAACACCTCAGCAGGTCGGTGTGGAAATGCACTGCATGGTGTGTTTGTAACCTGTGTGATGGATTTTCAGACAAAAGAATAGTTCAGGTAGTTTAGAAGTTTGGATTTTGTTTGAGTTTGAATTGTGGCATGACTTCGCCCCATTTTAATTGTCATTTTTTCTTAGGGTAGGAACATGTTAATAGAATATTCCTGGCTATTTTCAACCTGATTGTTGCCATTTTCACATAATATACACTAGGGCTGCACGATAAATCGAAATGGAATCGAGATCGCGAATCGACAGAAGCTGCAATTGTCATGCGTATCTTTCAGTGAAGCACGGTTCTGTGATCAGCAGTAAATCTCCATCCGAAGGCCAGAGGGTGCTCTCGCGCTGAAACTACAAATACGCCTCGCAGAAGAAACCCAGAAAATGCAGCTGAATAAACAGAAGATTCAACTGCTTTCATTGATTCAACGTGATTAATAAACACACGACGATGGCAATATACAGATTATCGGAGTTCTTATTATTATAATTTCAATTAAAATAAAGTATATTTATAATGCATCAACGTGACTAATAAACACATGACTTCGGCAATATACGGTTTATCGGAGTTCTTATTATTATAATTTTTATGAAAATAAAGTATATTTATAATGCAATGCCTTTATCACTGCTTAAATACTATGAAATATGTTGCGTGCCTTATTCTGTGTAAGAAGCCACATCATCTCACAGAAGGATTTATTTCAAACACTCGACCGACGTTATGACATGAGTTTGGAGTAAAAATGTTATTAAATGTGGTATTTTCACATGCTTTCAGATGGAGCAGCATTTACTTCACAGAGCCGTAGTTCACTGAGAAGCTATGCAAACAGCTGTCGTTATCACGAACAATTTCTTCGATTTCATAACCGCGCAATAAAATCGTCTGCGATTTTATTAAATTTTTTTTGCATAACTTGTCAGTGAACTACGGCTATGTGTAGTAAATTCTGCTCCATCTGAAAGCATGTGATGATGATTTCCTGCTGATTACAGAACCGGCATTACTATCAAAATGTGCACGATGGTCGCATTCGATTAATCGTGCAGCCCTAATATACACTACAGTATGTGTTGCATATCTCGCATAGCCAATGTTTTAACTGTTGGTGTAGCATTTGGTAAGGTCAAGGTTTGGCAGGTTAGCATGGTCCAGTTAGTCCCTTTTGGTAGATGCCCTAATTGCGCTATTCAACTAAACCATGCCTTCCATTGACGGACATTAAAATAGTTAATGAGATGGTCAACTTTATATAATGACATTTAAACCGTATATGTACATTTAATATTCATTGGGGACTTTTGCTTTTCACATCACAGCTCAGGATAGTTTCCAGTGAAGAGATTTGGGATTGTGTGCATTTTTCTGTGTTTTTCCTGTAGCTCCAATTATTGTTCAGATGACATTTATTAACCAGGTGATTAGCTTAGAAAAATGTGTGGTAATCAACTGCATGTTGCACATGCAATACTTAGGCATCAAGTTGAAAATAAGCCAGAATATATGTATTTTTAAATATATTAAGGCATTTGACTGCAATTTTATGTGACTTGTTGGATATGGGCAAAAAGCTAATGTTTTGTTCATGCTGTTTTGTTCAACTTGCATGGCTGATTTTTAAGATTTTAATTTAATTATTATTTTTTTATTTGTCAAAGGGAAAACCATTAATTTGGTAATTGTCATTAGGGATGTAACGATTCACTAACTCACATTGCGATACGATTCATGATACTGGTTTCTCAATATGATTTTTTTCAAAAAAAATTAACAAAATGAGATTTAAGACAAATTATAAATGAATAGTTGTCCTTTTATTATTTCTCAGACACTATGCTGCACATTTATTTGTGAAATTGAAATGTCAAATAACAAAACTAAATTGATAATTTTAAACAAATCCCAAATTAAATAAATATATTTATAAATGTATAAATATAGTATGTTTATATAAACAAACTAAGGCTTTGCCTTTGCTCTTTCTATTAGAAATTAGAGGAAACAACTGCATTTTAATCATGATCCGAACAAAGATGCTGCATACATGTAGCATGAGCAGTTTTTAATTAAAATTTGATTGTATAGTTTCAAAAACCGAATGGTCTGACTTTATACTATATAAAGCTCATCTGAACGAAACCGAAACGGCAGAGAGGCTGCACGAGAGCACAGATTCACTCTCTGACAGCAGGTGGCGCTTATGGAATAGCAGCAATAGCAGGGCTGCATTTATGAATACTACTTTAATATGCATTATACAAAGACAAGATGAGAAGAAAATACCATCTATACTTTTTCTGAAGACAATTCCCATCAGAGTTACATTCATGTAAACCCCCAATTATATTGCGTTTTGTTTATCATCTCAACCGATCATTGATTTTCAACCGGTTCGGCATGCATTGTTACATCTCTAATTGTCATCTTTGACCAGACTGCAAATACAAAATTAAAATAAAATTACTCTAAATTCAAAACTTCAAGTAATTGTATTGGTTCCCTTGATGAATCCCTATTGGAATGTTTCCCTCGTGAACTCTTTGTCTTCTGCTGATATGGACTGGCTGTTCTGCAAGGCTCCTGGATGCGCTTGGTTGTTTCCACCTCTGCCCTCATTCACGGTGTCCAACATCAGCTCAGACTAATTTTTCAGCATCTGCCTATTTTTTTGTTTTTCCTTATATGCTGTAAATGAGTTAGAGGATGGAAAGCCAGCGGGGGTCTCGAGCCAAAGAAGAAACTGAACTCGAACAGACAAGGAATCTGCCGAATTCAAACGACGGAAAGAGGAAACCCACTCGTTTGTCCCGGTCTGAAAATCAGGGTTCTGAAGAAAAAGGTCTTTTGTATCATGATCGGACCTCTCAGGGCATTAGAGGAGAGAAGGTTTGGTTCAACCGCAGCGTATATGAGCAGGCAGACGACGCTTATCAATCCTTGTTGAGCGCAGGGACCGGGACACCTCCGGTTTCATCCTCCCCAAAAGATCGAATTCCCCGCACCCTGGTCTTCAGAGCTAAACGCAACGGTGCGCAACAACTGCAAGAGGAGGCGAACCAAACGTACACGCGTTCCTATGTGTCACGTCAACAGCAGCGGGGTTCGACCCACCAACGATCCTCGTCTGAACCCGATCGGCAGCTCCCAAAAAGTAACAGGAAGAGGGTCCTCTCTGAGACCGAACGCGCCCCTCAGAAAAGGGACAAGTATGGCTAGTTTAGGGGCATGGGACAATTGACTTTAAGGAACTGCCTTCTCATTTATTGAACGGTGTGTTTTTGTGAGTTTGTGGATTTTATTAAATATTTTTCACCTTTCAAAAGCCTCAACCTGGTTTGTGTCACCATTGGCTGCTGGGTGAAAGTTGATCGGTGTGAAACTAATCCGAGGGCTTTGGTACGCAAAATCTATCCCATTGTCTGCAGCCTGTGTCAGCAAAAAAAAAAAAAAAAAAGTTTTAGTGGTTGAATGGACTTCAATCCAAATAACCGTTCTACAAAATCTACTGCAAGACCTGGACTACATAATTAGAGTTTTTCCTGCATTATAAAGTTGGTGTTTAAGGGGTATACAAGTTTACTATTGATCATCTGCAGTCTTTAATTTATTTTACTTTGACAGTAAAGGCCTGTTTACGGCATGAATGAAATCGTTAGATCAGAACAAATAACTAATGAAGGGTTTGTTCACAACAAGGAGTCTTTCACATACTTGAATACAAAATGCAGTGCATCTCACAATAGATTTTACTCACTAAAGCAAAAATACTAGCCATTTGATAATGCTAATTTCAGTGATTCAATGTATGGAAATCTACAGTATAATAATGAAAAAGAGAGATTTTTAAATAAACTGGTGATAGGTTGGTTTAGGTATAGGTACAGTATAGTATAAATATGTTGCCAATAAATATTCCCATTTTGTTACTATACTGTATAAGATTGTGTAATTTCTTTTCAATGCTTGTTTGTTTATTGTTATGGCATCTATATGCTCCTTGTTTTCAGATAGCAACAACATCAGTAAAAAAATTACTTGCATTAGCTATGTTTAGCTATTTATTGTCCATCACGGCTGCTATAATTAAGCCAGCGGTTAGCTAGCCCATCATGGTCTCTGATAGTTTAATCTAGTTCAAAAAATTTGTTTTTCCCAATTTATTCAAAGTGTGGTTTTGTTTAAACATGGGTTGTGTGACCCAACACGTTGAAGTAAGACTCCTCCAGCTTTTGTAGATTCTGACATGGTTATTTAAAAAAAAATTATAATAAGATAATCACTTATTCAAAAAATAAACTAAAATATTATTAGTTGTTTGGGCTGAGAAAAACTTGAATGCGGGAAAATCTCTAGAAATGAATTCTGTATTCAAATGGTAAGGATCCAAATTCAAGAGAACTAATATAAATTAAATGGTTCTGAAACCAATAAAATGTGAAAATACTGAAATAGAAGTATGCATTCATACATGTGGCACATATGGATGGTGCTCGGCTTGCTTGGCTTGATTTATACTTGCTTATGTTTTCATGCTTTTATCACACTCTTTAATGATTTGCATAAAAAAATTCATTAAAGACTTGCGTTTTAATTCTTATTTTTTATACTTGTCTTTCTAAAGCTGTGTGTTTGCTAATTCTAACACTCACGTCTCGTTTTTATGTTCTTAGCATCACAATGAGTGGACTTCAAGGACTCGGCCAGGAGAACATCTGGTTTGACAAGTCCAGATACGACGAGGCCGAGAGACACTTCTACGAGGGCAGGAACGGCATCCCTCAGACACCTCAGGTACTGCCCCCTACAGACCCAGGTGTCAGAGCAAAGCACAATTTGAGAGTCTAAATCTTCCTCATTTGGCTTTTCACACAAACCAGAAATTGTATTAATGAATGATGGTGACAGAATCCTAATGGTGAGGCATGAGTTCCTGTTTACTCAGCTGCTGTACATCCATCTATCATCTGTTTTTCCAGGTGTCTGCTTTTTCTTTTCGCTCATGTGCTGAATAGTCTGCACTGACAGCGCTTCTCTATGCACCTGTGCTTTTTTGTTTGCTTGCATGCTTACTCTCTGCCTCTTGCTGGTTTGTTTGACATGGGCCTTTTTACACCGCTGTACCCTTCCAGGAGAGAGTTACTAGTGCCATCATGCAGGACATTGCTAAAGCCTGACAGAATATCCAGCAATCCCTAGCCGGAGTGAGTACTGCCTCCAAAATATGAAATCTCATTATAATCTCAACTCATTTTTGGAGCATACTGAATTGGTCCTGTAATCGTCTTGTGAAGCACATTTAAGAGTGATTACTGACGCTCGATAACTGTCGTCCTGCATGGGACCAGTTTGAAGGGCTGATTTAATTCCACTTCATGAAGCTCTAACCAAGTTGGAGGTGAAATTAACAGGGCAGCTTTTAGTTCAGCTGCCTATCACCCACAAGACTGGAGCTACGGTACAAACACTTACTCTCCAAAAATATCCCTGTGCTATTTTAGCATGTTTACAGAACCCTCTCTGTACCCCTGACAGGAAGAAACAAAATCAGCTGTAGTTATGGATTAGTCAAATGTACATGCAGATTACTAACCCATATAAACAATTTATGAACTGTATAAGGATTTGGAGTGGTGGCTGATTTGGTGGATTAATTTGTTTAGTTTTAAATTTAAACATAAACCTGAAATTATTTAAATTACTTTATTCTAAAATACTAAAAAAAGAATTATGTTGAAATATCTTTATCAAATATCAAAGATTGAGTTTTACAAATAAATACTCTTTCAATCTTTCTACTTAAACAAAACATTTTTAATTCAGTGTGCTACTTGCCATTTGTTTGTGAATATTTGCGAAATTTACAAGCAATTTTTAAGTGAGTAAATCCTACACAATTAAATTCTACACCAAATTTTTTTCTAAGCCTTAATTTATTTTTGTTTGTTTGTTTGTTTGTGAGGTGCCCATGTGCAATTGTTCTGATCAGATTGGTCTGCCCCATACATGTGCCATTGGTTGAGTTAATTATACTATGTTGGGCAAATCGAGCAAACAGAAATTGTTTTAGAAAACTGACCTTTTGTTGTTGTGTAATACATTATATGTTGATGCTGATAATTTACAAATATTGGGCCATTGAGTGGCCAATATATTGATATAGCTGGTCAATCAATGGCGATTAAAAATTAAGTACTTAAAATGTGAAATATAAAAAAAATTAAAATGATACAAAAAGTGCAGTCTTCCTACAAAAACTTCAAATTGGCTTACTTTCAACATCATCGCAATATACACTATATTCTCTAATTTTATATTGTCAGCAAAGATTAACATTAACAAATTAATTTTATGGATGAGTTTTATTTTCACTAAAATACCTAAATGATCAATTTATTTCTCAGAGACTTATAAAAGTTGAAAAGAATGTGAATAGTTTTGAATGGACCTTTAGATTTGAGAACTGTAATATTGAATGTAAACATGCAAACTTTTGTTTTACACATGTATATCTTTTGGGCTTAGAAGTTGGCACATCGATTGGACCGATTAAAAATAATTGACCCGCTGCACTCGTTTTGCAGACTTTGCTTGTCAATATTTACATTTTTGTAGGTTTATCCAATTGGCATGTTAATTTTTGAAGTAAATTTCTAAAATCACGTGCACAGATTTTTTTAAAAGGCTCCATAAATTTCCCAAAACAGACAGAAGCTCTCACGGTCTCTTCTCACTGATGCTGCTGTATTTGGTTCCTCTGTCAGCAGTTACTTGACTCCTCGCTTATCTTCAAAGCATATGCTTACTAGACACTTCAGAAAAGTCAAATGCTCTGACTAAGAATCAAAGATCACCTCAAATACTTTATATAATCCAACTGTGTTCACCTAAAAGCACTTAGCTGTAGCAAGTAGGTCTAGCTTGATCTCCTTCCCAGCATGACATCTTTGGTTGTGTTTGTGCCTGTGCATTTTGCAATGTGTGTGCTCTGTTGTTCTCAGTCTTGTGTTCATCTGTCATCATTCATATTGTAAGAGGAAGCAGGTTGCTGTGCAGTTGCCTGAGGATGGTTAGTGTGTGTTTGTGCTTCTGGCTAAAATACAAGTCCATAATATTGCAATATATACAAGTCCTTAATAGGGATGCTCCGATCAGGATTTTTGCAGCCGATACGGAGTACCGATTTCTTGTCATGGTGATCGGCCGATTCTGATGCTTCAAGCTTTATATAGACTGTTTCATCGGACACATGCGCCTGGCCTGAAGTTAATTTCCGGTCTGTGTTTGTTTATCAGTCTGGCTATGGCGCCGGCTACAAACGCAGTCACACTCGCCCCAACATCAAAACTGACAGATTTTCCAGAAGGCTTCGTTGAATAAACATGAGCACGTACTGCACGTTTAAAAATCAAAACGAGCCGCGGGTGTTTTTATATCACTGTATTTCTGAAGGAAGACTATCTTTAGAAAATTTTCGATGTCATTTTCATTTCATCTTGCATGTTATATGCCTGATAAAGCAGCGTTTGTGAGCTCAGCGCTGCATTGTGTACAGCCGTTACTGGGGAAACCTCTGTTTCTCCCACTTTAACGCACCTCCTGCTGGCAGAGAATGAATGAGAATTTTCGGTAAGTCCGTCTGATTTACGCAGCAAACATATTTTGCTTTTCCACGGGCGCTGCGGATAATCCGCTGATTGGGTAATAAAAAAAATGCATTCTGATTATTTGCGGGTGGGTCGCAGGTGGGCAAAATAAATCATAAATGATGCAAATATTAACTACATTTTTTTAAATACATTTTTTTTTCATGAGGCAGACGATTTAATGTGTGTGTGTGTGTTCGCTCGCCTGATCGGGAAGTTGCAGTGACACAAACGGTGACATTCCAGATAAAGTTTGAAAGGAGTAAAGCCTGTGTTATTGCTATTGAGTAGGCTAATATGATACATTTTTTTCATGAGGCAGACGATTTAATGTGCGTGTGTGTGTTCGCTCGCCTGATCGGGAAGTTGCAGTGACACAAACGGTGACATTCCAGATAAAGTTTGAAAGGAGTAAAGCCTGTGTTATTGCTATTGAGTAGGCTAATATGGCCAAAGAACATATTTAGTTTTATAAATAAATGTTCGTTTAAAAGCAGCCCATGATCAGCATGTTATGTTACCGTTATCCCTTACGGCTCCGACGAGGTATTGTTCCGTCCTCCACACTGTCAGCTCACAAAAGACTATTTTTAGCCAAGCAGCGCGGAGAGCCACTTCAGAAACGTACCGGGGGCTGGCCGATATAAACACAAGCATTAGAGCTGCCGCGATCAGCTCCGGTTCCCGTGGAGCTGTAACGTGTCGCAGACGTGTGCACTGAGGTGCAGATCAGCTCTAACGTTACTGAATCTGCTGTTAAAAATGAACCATCCATTCATCATATCATGCAAAACATACACACAAATAGTTTCTCGAAACGTCATAGCATTTCCACACCGGTTATGACATGACTGTGGCGCCAAATCATTTATGTCCCCACGCATCATGTACGTCGTCACGCGTTGACGTCATCAAATTGCGATCGGTTCGTGAGATTGGCCAAGTGTAGTGAGTACCGATCGAGTCATAAAATGTGATTATCGGCCGATACCGATCTCCGGCCGAGCGATCGGAGCATCCCTAGTCCTTAATGATGTATTTGTTTCTTACAAACATGCAGCTTTCTGTTTCACAAGACGTTAATTGATGCACTGGAGTGGTTTGAATTACTTGTGGATTATTGTGATGTTTTTATCAACTGTTTGGACTCTCATTCTGACGGCACCCATTCACTGCAGTGGATCCATTGGTGTGTGAGTGATGTAATGCAAAATTTTGCCAAATTTGTTTCCATGAAGAAACCGTCGTCTACATCTTGGATGGCCTGAGCATATGTTAAGCAAAGTTTCATTTTTGGGTGATCTTGTCCTTGAAAAGAGCTTTGCGTATTTGCACAAATATATGTCTTCGCAACATAAAGGTCATTAAAAGACCGATTTAAAGTGAAGCAAAAAAAAAAATGAAGAGCCAATGAAAGACATTTAATACATGCATTCATCTTTTCTATGATCGCTTTCTTTCTTTGAATTTTATTAGAGCAAAACTCTGTTGCTGTTATAGTAGTTTATCTCTTTCTCTGATTTGTTTTGTGGTTGTGGTGGTTAAATGTGAATCTCTCAGGCGAAGACCACTCTACAGGGTAGTAAAAGGCACGCTCGCACTCAAAAACAGCGGGAGAGGAAGACCGTAAGTGCTGTGGGGCGGTTCAGCTTCACGTCTGTATGAAAAGCATGTGAATGGAGCCTGGAGCAGCGTGGATCATGCACACATTACTGCTTGACACTTACAAAAGAGAGTGTGTTTTTAAGGGCACAGACATAATGCATGACAGTTTTCATGCATTCGTTTAAAGTTTTAGCCTTCATAAAAGTAAACTGCATGCAAATTCAAGTAGTAAAATTTAATTACTACTTAATGATATTATATTAAATTAAACGTAATATCATGCTGAGCATAATTCGTCAAGTGTTCATTCATGAGAGAGAGAGAGAGGCTGTGTATGTATGAATTACCACCGTTTTGCCGCGTTTCTCTATTAACAGTGAAACTGTGGCTTTAATTGCTTTAGAAACGATGATGTAACCAGCTTCTTGTTGAGAAAGATAATGTAGCTCTTCAGCGATTAAGCTATTTTGATAAAATTGCGGAGCAGTGCTAAAAAGTTTGTCTGAGTGCTAAAAAGAATGTCTGTGCTCGCGCAGCATGATCTGACTAAAGGTGTGTGCGTGAGATACTGTGAGTGTGAAGACAGTGCATTAGTTTAGAACTCTTCTAATTTTTATTTTTTAATGGCCCTATAGTATGCAGTGTTTAATAAACAGCTGTTTTACTAAATTCTGCTGAGGTAAAATTCAGTGCAGTCCTGTATCGTACCGTGGCCTCTGTATTGTGATACGTATCGTATCGTGACTTTGCTGGTGATACACAGCCCTACTCTAAACTGCTCAAAACTCACGTTTGAATCGTCAGTGGCAAATTCTTTAAATATAAAAACGTACTTGCAGTATGTGAGTCAGAAGCCCCAGACTGTCCTTGCAAAGTTGGAACTGCCCCACTTTATAGAAACAGCCTTTGTGCCACAGACGCATTGTAGGCTACTCTGCAGGTTCAGGAAATGGCTTTCACAACGAAACACACAGCGCCATGCATCATATGACCCCTTTAACAGTCAGCTCTTTAATAGATGTAATTCACTAAGGTTCGGTTCTCCTCCATCTGATCTGCAGAGTCAGAATGCCAGCAAGTCTGAGGATCAGAGTGAGCTGGTCTCTCGTCTGAAGAGTCTGGAACTGGACAACAAGAATCTGCACAAAGGTACATATGAGAAGAGACATGTGATGGCTGTTCCAAAATCAAACGAGTTGCCTACCTAGACAGTAATTTCCCAGTTTTTGATTTGAAGACTCGATGGGTGTTGACACTTGTCAGTGAAATAAGCCACAATGAATGATGGCGATTCAATGTGGCCGTGTCCATAAATGCAGCACAGTTGAGAAATGTTTAACTTGTGTATTATGTTCCATTTGTGATCAGATGTTCAAAAGTTGTGCCAGGTTCCCACAGGAAAAAAGTTTTCCAGGCTTAGAAAATTCATAGAAATGTATTTTATGAGTATATTTTTGTTTGTAGTTATGCTCAGCTCTACAATATTTTGTCTGCTAGAAAACTTGAAAAAGTACAGAAGATATGGAAATTTGCTGGTCTGAAGGTGTGGAAACCAGTGTTAATTTTTTATATGCTATTGGAGTGTTTATTAATATTTTGAGTGAGGGTTATTATAGTTAACAAAAGCTATGTGAAATATTTTTGTTATTTGAAATAAATGTTAACTGAAATAAAATATTATACAAAAAATGTATTTCAGTTAGTTGCCTAGGTAACATTTTTTCATTTTCATTTAGCTTTAACTTTATGTAATAAAATACATTTAATAAAACAAAATAAAATTCATAAAATCTATATAGGCATATACAAAATAAAGAACTAAATTATTAGAACTCAAATTGAAATTGAATAAAGACTATAGTATCTCAATACTAAAATAATAAAAATTGTAATTTACGTTTTTATATATTTTCAGTATTAAAGTTTTTGTGATTTTTTTTTTTTATGTTTGTTTTTGAACTTTTCCCCCCAAACTTTAATTAAATTAAATTTATTTATTTTTATTTTTATTTTTTTTGGCAGCACGCTAGAGTTTGGAACGGACCCAGAGATTGACTGAGTTTTGGCTGATAGCCAGTTTGTGTTACTTGATTGTGTTGAAGCTGCTCATGATCAGTGTGAGATTAATAGAGCTGTTGCTTTTCCAGTGGTGGATAATCTGAGAGCAGTGCTGTCCAAACTGGAGTCCAGAATGGCTGTGCTGGAAAAGAGCCAAGCGCCGGCTTCAAAGACCGTTACTGTCACCAAGGTAGATGTGAAATCCTGCCCTCATAAAGTCAACGTTTGTGCATTAAACAAATTCAGTCATTCATAACCTGCATATTGTTTTATCTGAAGGCTGCTCCTGTCCAGAAGCCCAAGGTTGAGGAACATAATGGTGCAGACGACGACGACGACATTGATCTCTTTGGCAGTGATGAGGAAGATGAGGATGCAGAGCGTATCAAAGCAGAGAGGGTGAAGGAATACACCCAGAGGAAGTCCAAAAAACCAGCCCTCATCGCCAAATCCTCCATCCTGCTGGACGTCAAACCTGTACGAGACCTTAAGCACTCACAATCTTTAAAGTGTGAAGTATAATTCCTCCGTTTCAAATATATGGTTTTCCATTGATCAGTGGGACGACGAGACCAAAATGTCCAAGCTGGAAGAGTGTGTGCGCTCCATACAGATGGACGGCCTCCTGTGGGGAGCTTCTAAACTGGTTCCTGTCGGCTACGGCATCAAAAAGCTGCAGATCAACTGTGTCGTAGAAGACGATAAAGTGGGAACAGACATCCTGGAAGAGGAGATCACCAAATTTGAGGACTACGTAAGTGCAGTATATTTTTTGCTAAATCTGAGAATAAGATCAGGTCACGTTTCTCCCCACAGTCAAAAGAAAATTTTTATTTTGTATAAAGAAAATTAAATATCTTAAAGTATTGAGGCTTTCTTTTTTTATTTTTTTTTGCTTTTATTGTTTACATTTTCTCTTCCAGTTTCCATTGTGTCCAGACATTGTACTTTTGCATTAGATCATAATTACTTTAATCTTGAAAATAAAGACATTGCTTAAAATAATTAAATGATAATAAAAAATATTCTATTGCAATAAAAAATAAAACATTGGTCTTAAATATAGTCTTTATTTGTGCATTATATACAGTACATTTAAAAGCAAAATCTGTATATATGTATATTGTATATCAGTAATATTGTAAATATATCAGTAAAACACAAAGTTATTTAATAATGTATAAACTTGAAACATTAATTTATTGCATAATGGTAATTTTTTTAAAATAGAGGATAAATTATGAGGGCAAATGAACAGTTGCTATGAAAATAAAGAAATAAAACAATTTATAAAAATTTATATTAAGTTGTATTATATAAATTAAAGTTATTTTATAATAGTTTTAAAAATAGTTATTTTATAGTTTATTACAATTATTTTATATTGCAGTAAAATACTGATTTTATAATGCTGTATTAATATTTGCAAATGTGTGTTTTTGTTGCATTACAATACTACAGTAACTAATTAAATAAAATAACTTATAATTTAAATTATTTCTTTATTTTCATGACATTACATTTGGTAAATTGATGAAAATGATCACAATGACAAAAAATACATATATTTGTCTTCATTTATTTACAATATACCTTTTAAAATAAAATTATTTCTTTATCATGGTTAGGTGAAATCCAAATAGTCAAGTTCTCGTTTTTTTTTGGAGATGCACACTTTGATTACATTATAAACTGTTAGGACAAATATTCAAGGTTTTATTGACCAATACTCTGTTTGTTCCTCATTATGTTGTAGGTCCAAAGTGTTGACATTGCTGCCTTTAACAAGATCTGAGCCTCTCACCTCCATCTCCATTTCACACTGGGTTACTGCTGCTTTTATATCACAGTTACCAATAAACTGTTCAGCCACGTGAACCAACTCACTATGTTGACTGTCTTTATTTGTATGCTCTTTATTCATGTCCTGGTTTCACACGTTTCTATTATATTGTCATATTTTATTTAAATGGTAAGTTCACTCAAAAATGAAAATGGTCATTCCAACAAAAAGATATATTGAGGTCAGAGCGCTACTTTTCACAATGTTGCATGGACTCTACAACAATAAGCCACAGGAGAAAAGCACAAATGCAACAAGAAGGTGAGCGAATGACGTGCTTTTAATTTTGGGGTGAACTGTCCATTGAAACAAAATGAGAGCACAGAATGCGTAACTAAGCTGAAAAGCTTAAAGTTCGACAGAGTTTTAAAGTAGATCCAAGTCCAACCCAGAATCCAGGATAGAGAGGCTGAGTGAAAGTGGTTTGCTCTCGATGGAGCAAAGTCATGGTATCTTCTGCCAGAGAAATGCAATAAAACGCCAGAGTTCCAGCTCTGTGATCGAGATACACGCCGACTCTGTGTGGCATTGGAGTGTGTATTTCAACACTAAACTTATTGTGCCGGAACAAACAAAGAGAATCTGAGAAATCGAAGCTCCATGATTTTGAGTTGCATCCCAGTTTTTGGTCTATATTCTCTCCAGTTCTGTAGGAAACTGCAATAGAAACTCCTTCACCGCCTCCCCACTCCACCTCCCAATATCCACGTCCAGAGAGACCTTCGGTGCAGAAGACTTGAGCCCATCTGATGAAGCGCTCTGGGTGATCGGGGTATGGCTGCGGCTCGTGGTCGGTCGTGACTTCTGCAAGGTCTCCAGAAAAACGGAGGAAAGAGTTGGCGGTGTTTGGGTCTAATGTCAAATCACAGCAGTCTGAAAGAGATAAGATACTTTACTAAGATGTATCTTTAAGGCAAGTCATTTCACTTGGTCTTTGAAATGCCTTTCAGCCAACTAAATTTCAGTCATGCAAATACAGCTCCCATCTCTTTAAATGAAGAAACGTTAAATTCTCCAAAGCTGCTCACCAAGTTTTCAATTAAATTTCATATTTTAAAACACCAATGACATCTGACAACAGCTGTCTCGTAAAATTGGTTTCTTATGCTCAAATAGCATTTAAAAAAAAAATTAGTATTTTTCAGAGTAGACAGCCAATGCACGCCTCTCAGAACACAGCCTGTTTCTATAGCAACCGGAGCTTCTATGTTTCTGCCATGGAATAAAAAAATTAACTTTTTATCTCAGTTCTGACTTTTCTCAGAATTGCGAGTTTATATTTTGCAATTGAAAGTTATAAACTCATAATTGTGATTTAACATCTTGCATTTCAAACATTTTCTCTGAATTGAGTTTATATCGCAATTATATCGAGTTGTAAACTCGCAATTGTGAGTTAACAGAATTGTCAGAATTGCGAGACAAATTCAGAATTGTAAGATTAAAATTGTGAGTTTACATCTCACAATCCTGAATTTACCAAAAATGAACTGAACTCACACTGTAAGAAGTCTCCTCTGGTCCTCGGCTCAGTCTGTTGTAAATGTCGATGGACTGGAAAAGGTCAGTGAGGAGATTACATCAGAAGAGTTTTGGTTTACACCGGTAAACATGGATGAGTTAATGCGGTTCGGTGACTGACTTGCTGGGAGGGATGTGAGTGTCCGTACCTGTATCAGTGTTCAACGGACAGCTCAGGGAGTTTTCAGCTGACTGATTGTGCTCTTCATCAACTGTAAATATAAGGGTATCCGCTGTCAACAGACAGTTGTGCATCAACCGCTGATGTTTATATGATTCTAAGCAAGTGTCGGCTGTGGAGGACTAGGAATGTCACTTAAAAACGAAGGAATCAATTTAATTTCATTTGGAGATGTACATTTTAATAATTTTGGAAATCAACAAATATATAAATGCAAAAAAAGGTAGTTGTATGTATGTGTGTGTGTGTGTGTGTATATGTATATGTATATATGTGTATATATATATATATATTAATTAGTTCTTAATTTCCTTCATTTATTTCAGTGGTATACCAAGACCACCATAGTGAGCAGACTTTAAGTAAAAAAAAAAAAAAAGTTTACAATTACAAATAATTGTAATTTTAAATATTTACTCATATATCTTTAATTTTTGACTGGTATTTATTATTAGATTTATATATTTATATATATATATATATATATATAGTTATATTTAACTGTTTTTATATAAAATTTTATTATTTTGATATTTGTAAAATTTCTAATTATCATTAGTCTTGTGATATAATGTATTAAGATTTCTTTGTTTTTATGTTAACTACATTTGAATTAATTTGATTTAATTGTAAAATAAGTTATTTTGCATCAATTTATAAAAATATTTTAAATGTTTAATTGTCAGTTTGTGAAGTTATTTATTAAAATGTTTATTTTCAAATCCGTTCATAATTCCTTCATGCATTTAAGTGGTTACTAAGTCCAACATAGTCAGCTACCTTGTGAATCTGTGTTTCTGTCCTCACCTAATTCTGTGATCTTTGTCGATTCTCTGTCACAGACCTCGTTGACTTTATCTCTCAGCTCTGCGAGAGCTTTTCTCAGTATCAGCAAAGAGAAGTACGGATGGGCATCAATGCTGGGCCGACCCCCGGCGTCAGGAGGAGCGCAGAGCCTCTTATAGTTCTGCACAGGTGAGTCAGACAGGTAAAACTAGCATGTTAGTGAACAAAGTAAGCAAACCCACACCTTTTTATTCACTGGCCCAAATTCCCCTATAGATCCTAAACAAAGAGAATGCCATGCCATGGCCTTGTGGTTCCCATAGTGTTTCAGTTTCGTAACCTCCAGCACAAATAAACTAATTCAGTTCATATTTCAAACCCAGGACTTCACCTGCAGGAAATGGATATGATCCTCGGTGTTTGAGAGCGCCTCTAGCTCGGCCTCTCCTCTTCTGTGTTCAACTATCTGTTGATTCAGTCGTTCTAGAAGCTTCTCCGTCTGTCCGAGAGCTGTCCTCTCCTCACCTCTGATCAGCTCTTTCACCTCCAGATGCTTCCTTTCGACGGAGCGCAGCAGTCTGATGAAGATCTTTTCGCTGTCATCCTCAACCGCTTGCGCTGAGCGCTAAAGCAGTGACAGAAAGGACTTTTTTTTGTTTTGTTTTAAGTTACTGGTCACACTTGTACTGTTCGCCACTCTAAAAAGACTGAATATGGCATAAATTAATGTGCTATATTTTTAAACTATAATAATTCATTAATATTTTGTTTTGATGGTTCTAAACATTATTTATCTCAAATTTATTTATTACATCTAAAATGTATTTATTTAAATTATTATTTCCAGAATTTTTTTTAGCATTCATGCAATATTTAGGTTAGAAATAGAGCAAATGTATTTAAAATACTATGAACGGAGGCTATCCACCTTATTTTCTGTGAATGTGCGGGACTTCCGATTGATTAGCCCCTGAAGCAGGGTTGCCAGATTTTCACAACAACACCCGCCCAATTGCTACTCAAAACTAGCCCAATGGCATTTTGAGGGGGGCTCCCGCCCCTGAAGCAGGGTTGTCAGATTTTCACAACAACACCCGCCCAATTGCTACTCAAAACTAGCCCAATGGCATTTTGAGGGGGGCTCCCGCCCCTGAAGCAGGGTTGCCAGATTTTCACAACAACACGCGCCCAATTGCTACTCAAAACTAGCCCAATGGCATTTCGAGGGGGTCTCGCCGTTAAAAATCGCATTCAGGGGTAAAATACACGTTTTTAGTGGGGTTCCCCTGGTAAAATTCGCACTCCATGGTCTATAACGTTATCGGTAACCCGCGGACATGAAAAACAACCCGCGGCAGCAGTGATAAAGTAGCCCAATTCCGTGGGAAAACCGCGGACTTGGCAGCACTGCCCTGAAGGTAAAACTAGAAGGTTAGCAAGTGCAGTATATTAGGGATAAATCTTTGTTTGCTAATGCCAAGTTCACACTGCACGATTTTACACTCGCCGACAGGTTTTGCAAAATCGCCGACAAATGCCCGAAATCTGAGGCAAATCGGTGCTCGTTCACGCAAGTGACAATCACATAATGTGAATTATCAAAGACGCGATCTGAGGGAATCGCCGACACAATCACGCTGTGTGAAATGAGTTCTGACTGAAAAACACATCGGCGATGACCTACAGCCAATGAGAGACCAAGATACAGGGCAGCGGGAAGTTCGGGGAGGAGTTATATGAAACGTAGTTTGCGGACCAGTGTTGCCAAATCCGTAATTGTTTTTTATGTCAGCACGTTGAAGCGACCCCAATAGCGTGATATTTCGGCCCTGGAATGTAAATACCAGGAGAACCCCGCCAAAAAAATTTGTACTGGGGGAACCCCTCGAAAGCAATTGGGATATTTTCAGGCTAGTTTTGAGTAGTAATTGGACGTGTTTTGTAGCGAAAACCTACCAACCCTGCACCAGACAGAGCTGTCTGCGATTCTTCCTATTGTGAAGTCATGCAGTGTGTAACCTCCTGTCGCTGATCCATCGTGCAGTGTGAACACAGCAGCAACTGAATGCTACCCCAGATAGTCACGCAGTGTGAAAACAACGGCGATCAAACGAGTTTGAAAATCGTGCAGTGTGAACTCGGCATAAGTCTGTTTGCAAAAACTAGTTTGCGATTCGGTGTGATTAATTCAAAAACGTTCTCTCACACAGAATCGCTTGCAGTGGTTTCTCACACCGTAACGGGTTACTTGATACAACAGAAAACAAAAACGGCGCTGGATGAGGTGATATTTATCTACAGTGCACTGTAAGACACAAAACTTAAAAATGTCTTTATTGTTCGGGTGTAACAGCAATTTATATGTATCCAAATTTATATATATATACAAAATTGAATATCAAAATCACTTTTTGATTAAGTAAATTTATTATTGCATTTTATTAGGCTTTGTGTTTTGATATGTATTTATACATGATCAATGACTACTTTTTGCCGCAGTTTTGATAAAATGCTGATTTGATGTGTAAATTTGCGAAAGTTTACTCCGTGTTACAGTCACACCAGTTCTTTTGCACTCTTGATGTTTTAGAGTTTAACCCCTTCATAGCTGTGTGCTTTTTTCCTTGCATCATGGCTGATTTTTAGATTGTACAAATGTGCTCGCTTTTTGTATTTTTCATATTTCCCATTGATGGTGATAATTTTATACCATGATCAGTATGTGTGACTTTTTTTTAAAGACTATTTAGCCTATTCCGGTCATGTACAATCGTTTTTTTGTGCTCGCGTAGCAAAGTTTTATACCATTCTGTTGAAGTAAAAATTAAAGACACTACATTTTTCAGTCTAAAGCCCCGTTCACACCAAGAACGATAACTATAAAGATAAGTTCTGTTATAATGCTACTCTGTGCGGTCGTCACCAGTCTATTAAAACGCACAACATATTAAAGCGTCTTTGGTGTTTCCATGTTTTCTACAAAACAAAACCGGAAATCGAGATTTTTTTTAGTTGCTCAAATAATCAGGAACGTATGAGCACCCAATTCTGCCACAAAACGGAAAAAAAACATGCTTTAAATCATGATGATGAAAAGCTGAAATGACAAGTTATAGTTATGATTTGTCAAAAATATGAGATTGTCATAATTATGAGATAGTTAGATCTTCAGACATAAAAAGTTAAAGTTATAATTATAAAGTCTATAGTATTGAATATTTACATAAGTAAATTCTAAAGTCATAATTATGATAAAAAGTCAAAATTGTGACAAGTTATAATTATGACAAATCATGAAATACTAAGTCATAATTATGAGACCAAGTCAAAATCATGACAAGTTATAATTTCGGCAATTCTAAATATAAGATACAGTTTAATAATTATGAGAAAAAGTTTTTAAATTTAATATGTTTTGTCATAATTATGATTTTTTTTTAATCATACCTTCAGCTTATGATTATAATTATCAAGACTTCTTATGGGCTTCCAAAATAGAGATGTTAAAAACTATTATTGATATGGTCTCGGGTTCAATTGTCACACTTTAAAGGAAAACACACATGATTGTCATAATTATGATTTTTTTTTAATCATACCTTCAGCTTATGATTATAATTATCAAGACTTCTTATGGGCTTCCAAAATAGAGATGTTAAAAACTATTATTGATATTGTCTCGGGTTCAATTGTCACACTTTAAAGGAAAACACACATGATTCAATCTTTATTTTTTTTGGGCTACACAGTAAATTACCAGAGCCATCAAAATGTTTGGAAGAAACTTTATTTTTCATGATATGAAAAATAAGTATTTAACATCCTAATTTAAAAAAGTATTGCCATTTAAACAATGTTTAATACACACAAATACATTTCAAACATCCAGTATAAAGCTAAAATGAACATCTGTGAATAGATAGACAGCATCAGTAGTATAATTTTACACCAGTATAACACTATATAACGTGTATAATTATTTTTAAAAGTTTTGATCACACAATATTGCAACTTTCACTCCAAACACATATGTAATTGTAAAATATACAGATTAACATAAGTTTAAAGTTAATACCATTGAGACTTGGACAGTAGACACAAACGCATCTGCATTTACATTTCTGTCTTATTTAGTAAGAGTTTGTGGTTAACAGCTTTACTTTTTTTTTTTACCATGAAAATGTACATGCTCAAAAAACTACCACAAACTGACTTTGGCCTATGACTGAGTTCTGATCAGGCGTTTCTCAGGCCGTTCTTAAGGCTATCTTCGTCTCCTACGTGGCTGCAGTCTCTGACGAGGACCTGCTGCTCTGGATCCTGAAGAGCACAGATGTGTGCAAAAACAAAAGGCTCAGAGATGGTCAAAATTCTACACTAAATTACAAGTACATTGTCTGCTATATTTACAGACATTTCCTTTGACCCTAAAACACTACACAATGCGTTTACATTTTTTTAAATACACCTGTAAAAAAAATCAATAGGGAAAATTCATTAATATTAACAGAACAGTGGGCTGTATTTTTACTGACTTTTTTTAAGTGTACAATAAAAGCTTTTCCTGATACTCACCAAAAGACGAGAATGGAAACACACTAATTGTCGGGATGCTAATGGTAAAAGGACTCTGTACAAAGACCGGTGCTGAAGCTATGAAATAAACAATTAATCCTATTAGAACTGCAAGCTTCTTCACATGTAATTGAAAAAAAATATCAATGAAGTATTAACATTTTATTAGATTAAAATGAAATATGTACATATTTTGAGTATAAGACTTATACTTGTCCCAAACTTAGTGAGCATTTTAAAGGGGTCATATGATGCGATTTAAATTTTTTCTTTCTCTTTGGAGTGTTACAAGCTCTTGGTGCATAAAGAAGATCTGTAAAGTTGCAAAGACTAAAGTCTCAAATCCAAAGAGATATTCTTTATAAAAGTTCAGAGTCAGCCACACCTACCTAAAATGGCTCGTTCTAACACGCCCCCACATGTCTATGTCACGATGTGGGAAGATTTGCATAACGCCGCCCAAATGTTCACGCAAAGAAAGAAGGCGTTAACTTTTATTCTCGCTGTAGTATTGTTGACGCTGCAGCCATGTCGTGAAGGCGCTGTGTGATTCGTTGTGAAAGCGAAACTACTTTGTTTGGTCTTCCAAAAGAGGACGATATCCGCTTCGTCATGCCTGGAGCTGATCGTTTATGCAGGAAGTGAGTCATGTGACCACAGAGTCTGACATGAGGGGGAGGGTCTGAAGAGCTGCTCTGCACAACAGCTGCGCATGTCAGAAAAAGCACTGAGATGCCAGCAGTGTTAAACTCGGTGCAGTGTTAAGTGTCCTGGCAAGAATTTGTGCAGCTCACAAAAAATGACTAGGTCATACATCACACCAAAATCAGCACATAAAAAAAAACTACATAAAAAAAACAAAAATAAAATTGTAAATTACATTTATAAAATGTAAGTCTATATTACTTCACAAGTTAAATAAATGCAAATTAATTCAAATTAAACATATATACATAAACACAATTTTAAATTGTATATTTATAAATGTAAAAACATAAATATGTAATATAATTAATAAATAAATAAAACATTTTAATAAACGTTTATTGTTTAATATAAATAAATGACATATATAAATGATATATATACACACACTGAACAAAATTATAAACGCAACACTTTTGTTTTTGCTCCCATTTTTCATGAGCTGAACTCAAAGATCTAAGACTTTTTCTATGTAAAAAAAAACTAGATCCAATTCGATATTTTCAAACTAATATTTTACACATTTTATTTTTAATATGAATTTTTCACCGTATAAATTGGGTCTTTATACAAGAAAATATATAAATGCCTTTTAAATTTTAGAATGGGGGTCCCAGGCATGAGAATGAGAATATCTGGGGGACCAAAATTTAAAAAAAAGTAAAAACATAAATATAATACAAATAAAAACGAAATAAATAAATACATTTGAGTACAATAAATAAAAAACAGGCAAAATAACATGCATTTCAAATCAAATGCATGTCATGAAAAGGGGTCTCTTGCACAAGGTCCATGGCTTTCAAAAGCTTTGATAAATAAATGCATACCTTCCTCTTGCAAAGGTGTTCCAAGATCTTCTGTGGACTTCCGCGAATGACATTCTGCCTGCACAGCATGACAGCAGAAACGAACCCGTCTGACTTGGACACGAACCTCTGCTCCAGGTAGAAGGACTTCTCATCCCACGCCACGATCCGGGTGCGCAGCTCGAACGCCTCGCCGAGCGCCAGCGAGCGTCTGTAGCGGATGGTCGTGGCTCCGACCAGCATGGTGGCGTCGAGCGCGCGTGCGGCCAGGAAGAGCCCGTTCCGCGTGCAGTGTGCGTACCGGGCGAAGTCGCACTCGCGCAGATAGCGGGCGTTATTCATGTGACACATAAAGTCCAGGTCGTGGAGGAGAACCCGTCCGTGAACCACCTGCTCGGCCAGAACATCTCGAACCGGCCCCTGGAACCAGGACTTGATCACCATCCACGAGCCTCTCAGGAAGTACCAGACGTCAAAACTGCCGAACAGAACCAGAGAGCCGGACAGAATCCACAGCAGCATGATTCTGTCACACAGTAAAGATGATTAATTATGCACATCATGAATAATTCATCACGATCACGTGGGGACACAGAACTGGGTTTATCGAGTTTCTACGGCGTTAACAGCAGTGACCCGGCTACAACACTATTGCATCTTTTTGGAAAATTATAAATGTTTATTTAAAGATGTCACATCATTCATTCATATCGGAAATGAATCAAAAATCAACATTTCGATTAAATATCTGATCTCACTTATAGATCAGACAAGGCCGTGCAACGACACCTGTCCCAAGTAGACCGGCTTGAGTTTTAATACATGTCAATTGATCAACGACGTGCATTATTAGTGTTCATAATCATAATCTATGTTCAAATTAGGCATTCTTGCTACTCACGCGATTGTCACCCGAAAAACCGGCTTCACGCACTTCCGCACAGACCGAAACTGCGCTCTGATTGGTTTAACGTGGTTACGTGACTACGTCAGCAGGCCGCCAGACGAGCGGCGTGACGCCGTCAACGTTTCCAAGACAAAATATTATTTATACGTCTTTGCAATCTTTAGAATCTGCTGTTGACTTTCTTATCCTTGTGGCAAAATTCTATTTTAACAAACAAAGGTTTCATAAAAAAATCCCTACTTTTATAGATTTGTTATGTGAAGTAGAACATTTAATTAAATCACTAAGAGTAATTGATAACAAAAAATGTATTTCTTTTTTGAAGAGATATGATGAGATGTACTGTGATTAATCCCTGTTTTTTTAAATCCTCTTTTCTTTCTTTATTTGTTCTGTTCCTGCCGTTATGTTCATTAAAAAGCTGTTTAAATGCAAAAAAAAATGTAAATAATTATTTATACGTCTTTGCTGCTATTTAGATATGTTTTAATTGTTTCAAATTCATTGGATATTCATGTTCTGAATGCCATTTAAACAGTAACATATTATTTTGAATAGACGTTATTAAAGAAATTGAGATATATAATTTAATCCATTTCAATCTGCCAAATCTTTAGATTTGTGCATTCGGACAGTCAAAAATAAAGAGAGAAATATTTATCTCAGAATAACAGAAAATAGAATTTAAATTACACATACTGCATAAGTGAGTTTTTTTATTTTTATTATTTATTTATGTATTATTGTTTTGTTTCCCTTTTGTAGTAATGCTTCACACTCCAGTCCAGTCAGTGGCAGTAATACACCAGAAAATAGTATTTTCTCTTTTGTTCATCCATTGTTTTTAAGAAAGTATTTCTACATATTCACAATCATAATGCATCATGAATCAGGCTTCTAGATTACAGCAGAACTCACAGTTTTATTTTGAACACCCGAGACATTCATGTATGTGCATCAGTATGTTCTTATGTTTGTAAACCAGTGTTTGAGAGCTCATTTAAGGCAGTGAGCCGTCATTCGTTCTTTTTATCATCGAGCTGACTTTCGCCCCTGAGGGCTTTACTGCTGGCTGAGATGAAATTGATCCAGTGCTGCAGGTCTTCAGGAAATTCTGGCACTTCAACCTAGAAAATCAGTTCATAAATGTCAGGCTTCAGTGTTTTGAAAAAAAAGGGAATTCATATTCAATTGGAACAACATGTAAATTGATAACATTTTTGTTGTGAACTATTATTTCTACATAAAATAATGAAAATATTAGAAAAAGCTAATATTAATATTATTAATAACTAATACAATGCTTATATAGGGCTGTATGTTCCCTATCTGCTTATAAGAATCTTTTCAGACATAATTAATTACTTTTATTAAGCTGCATTTGGACATATATTTAGAGATTATCAAAGACAACTTAATTGAGTCTGATTTGTAGATTGTACACCAAAAAAATTGCTCTGTATTTTCAAATTTTTTATGTCGACTTATGGAAGCTCTTTTCTGCTACAGAATAAAATATTTAAGAAAGTAATTGTGACTTTTTATCTCACAATTCTGACATTTTTCTGGCAATTCTGAGAGAAAAAAATTAAATAAAAATAATATATATATATATACAGTATAAATGAAAAATTGCAAGATATAAACTCGCAATTCTGAGAACTTGCAATTGCAAAAAAAAAATTATAAAATAAAATCAGATATGTGAGATAAAAAGAATTTGAAATTACCATTTTTATTTTGTAATTCCAGTAGGAAGTAAATTGTGAGATTTAAACTCTGAATTGCAAGAAAAAAATTATGAATTCTCAGCATTATATCTTGCAATTCAGAATTTTTTCTCAGATTTGTGAATCACGCAATTCTGTGTTTATGAACAGACTTACATAGTCTTTCCGAATCATGTCCACAATTTGTTGTGTGTTTATATATCAAGTGCCACAAACGTCAGTTTCGTACCATTCCAATAAAGTTCACAAATGTAAAAATTCAAAACAGTCTACAATAACAAAAGACCACCAGAGAGTTAAAGTGTTAGTAAATCTATCACAGCTGCTCACCTTTCTCTTGCACAGGTATTGCAGGATCTTGTCCGGACTGCTGCGCAGAACATTCTGTTTGCAGAACATAACAGCCGACACCATCCCATCTTTACGAGACACAAACCGCTGCTCCAGGTAAAACGACTTCTCATCCCAGGTAATGATTCGACTGCGAATCTCAAACGCCTCACCGACACACAGCGGCCGTCTATAGCGGATGGTAGATGCCCCAACGACCATGGTGGCCCCTAGAGCTCTTAAAGCCTTGAATACCCCATTGCGAGTGTACAAAGAGAAACGGGCAAAGTCACACTCGCGTAGGTAGCGTGCATTGTTCATGTGGCAAAGGTCAACGTCATGGAGAACCACTCGTCCGCTAGCAGTCTGCTCTGCTGTGATGTCAAATACAGGTGAGAGGAACCAGGCCCTGACCAGCACAACCACTACCCGCAAGTAATACCACACATCCAGACTGCAGAACAGGAGTAACAACACGCCCACAATCCACAGCAGTGTGTCCTCCCTGGAATATACAGAAGTAAGGTTTAAGCCAGAATGTACAAGAGATTTCTGTTAATTCAGAGCAGTTTTAAATTCATAAAGTCATGGCATTAAATGTAGCATACATTGCGAAAGAATAAATATCATCCTCAGTATTTTTTTTTTATACCTGGTTTCCAATACAAATATCTAAACATCCTTAAAGGAACACTCCAGTATTTTTGAAAATAGGCTCATTTTCCAACTCCCCTAGAGTTAAACAGTTGAGTTTTACCATTTTTGAATCCATTCAGCCGATCTCCGGGTCTGGTGGTGGCACTTTTAGCTGTAGCTTAGCATAGATCATTGAATCTGATTAGACCGTTAGCATCTCGCTCAAAAATGACCAAAGCGTTTCGATATTTCTCCTATTTAAAACTTGACTCTTCTGTAGTTACATCGTGTACTAAGACCGACGGAAAATGAAAAGTTGCGATTTTCTAGGCCGATATGGCTAGGAACTATACTCTCATTCCGGCGTAAGAATCAAGGAACTTTGCTGCCGTACCATGTGTGCAGCAGGCGCAATTATATTACGCAGCGCCTGAAAATAGTCCCAGCTAGGTAACTTCCAATAAGCCTATTTTCAGGCACTGCGTAATAGTACACGATGTAACTACAGAAGAGTCAAGTTTTAAATAGGAAAAATATCGAAACTCTTTGGTCATTTTTGAGCGAGATGCTAACGGTCTAATCAGATTCAATGATCTATGCTAAGCTACAGCTAAAAGTGCCACCGCCAGACCCGGAGATCGGCTGAATGGATTCGAAAACGGTAAAACTCAACTGTTTAACTCTAGGGGAGTTGGAAAATGAGCCTATATTCAAAAATACTGGAGTGTTCCTTTAAATCAAGATACGTTTACTTGAGATGCAAAGTGAACATATGAAGTCTTGTTTTCTGTGAAGTGGGTTTATGCTTAAAACAAGAACAAATATCTGTCAGTGGAGTATGAAAACTTCTTTTCCCTTTGAATTAAGCAGATTGTTCGTTTTAATCCCAATCTCAAGGCTTCTTGTCAATTTGCTTCTCAGGTAAATGTATCTTGATATAATAATTTTTAAACATTTGCATTGGAAAACAAGACAAAAATACTGATGAAGACCATCGCTTATTTGCAGTGTGATCACAAGGTACAGTAAAAGTTATTTCCTTATTTTAGTGGTTGAGAGCAGAGCTATTCAACCCGAAAGTTATTTATTTATTTGAATTAAAGTATTAGAGATCTGTTGGAAGTTGTTCCAAACTTTGAAACATTGCTAATACAAGACATTTACATTTAGAGACCATATTGACATACTGTATTGCGTTGCATTCAGTTTACTCCTCAAATGTTCATTACTTGGTATTAAAATTCTTATTAGATATATGCATGGGAAACTGATCTTAAACTATTTTAAACAGCATTTTTATTTTATTTTATTATTAAAAGTTGCATGTTATTTGTCTGTATCTCACTTGTTAAAACAACCTGAGATGTCAGTACATTTTTGTGGTTCTGAGATTTTTAGGGTTTTGCTACAAGCCTCGTTCAAGTAGAACTAGTTAGGCTGGTTTGTGAACACGTTGTAACGAGTGATTTTTTTTTGGGGGGGGGGGGGGGGTGCTTTTTATAAACGTATTTCCAGTATCAGACACCATAGAATGTATTTGTGGGAAAATGATAAATAGACTAAATCAACAATAAGATAAACTCGTTCAAGCCTACATTTAGTTTACGAATTTAAATGTAAATCTTCAACAGTTTAACATAGTTGATCTGTTTAAGTTTCGCATTTACAACGAACGATAAGTTGGACTTGCTGTCGGAAACTAAATTAAGAGCTGTAAAAGAGTCAAACACAGTACTTACATGTCCACGCTGGTCCAGTTGCTGTTTTACGTCTGTACGGTACGCCGGCTGAACGCGCGATGACACGCCCCCTCAACGTGACGTCACGTAAGAACGTTCAAAATGACAGAATTCAAGTTCTTGACGTATTTCTCAAATGTACACATTTTGTAAGTACAAATGAAACACAATTGAAAGAAAATAGCAAAAATAGAACTTAAAAGATAAAGAAATTTGAATGTTACATTCACTTAGCAGAGACACAGTTCTTTGGGATTTTCGATTTTTAAAAAAACTTTACAGATTCTAAATAAACTCTAAAGGTGGTTTGAAAATGAGCAAAATTGGGCTTTGAGTTACTCCATTTAGTTTGATGAATAAAATTGTCCTAATAACAAAAGTAAATCAATAATAAATATTTTTCTTTTAGAGAAGTCATATTCATTTGAATGAAGAAAAAAAACGTATTATATAACTATATATAATATTTGCAATATATATATATTATAAAAATTATCCATATTATTTTTAATTTTAAATAATTCTATGTATATAACTATTAAGAATTAAAAATATATAGATATATAATTATTAAAATGATAAATATGAGATATTTTAATAAATATATAAAATATGCGTATATATTAATAGAATGTTTAAAGTTTAAATAATAAATTAATTTGAAGACAT